CCAAAATTAGCTTACCACCTCTACAAACAGAAAATTCTCTACGCTTGTGCCTCAGACCAACTCTCCACAATAGTCCTCAATGTCAACTCCCCAAGGACCTACAATTTCGGTGCTAAACCAAGCCCAGCTGACTCATCAGCCGACAGCTTCAGTATAACAATATTTTGGTGCTAGAAGGAGTGCTAAATGTCACAGCAATGTCCTTTCATAACTCCTATCAATGGGCGCTCTGGGTACCTGCTCATCTCATCAAAAGCCTTCTGAGTCCTCATGCACCGATTGTAACATCCCATTAGTCCCACATCGGAAGTGGGGAATATGTATGATTAGCTTATAAGGGTTTGATGAGTGTACTACGTTAACTCCCGCTTAGTATGACATTAAGGGACTCAACTAATCACACAAAGCCAAAAAGGTAGGCAACTCTTGCAAATCACAACTCACTATGATTGCGATCTTGTTCGATCTTCAAACCATCATAGCCTCGAGAGACGACTAATCATGGTGTTCGTTTAAGTCAACACCATCATTACAAGATGAGTCTAATTCGATGATACACCCTCGAGAGACTCGACTAAGCATACTATATCCTCAGGTCATTGGTGACATCTCCATGTTAGCAAGATCTCAGTCCATGTCAAAAAATGATTTCCACATATAATAACAGGCCACATTCTCATCCTCATCGGTCCCCATCACCTCTACCCCACCGTTGTGCTTTCTCATGCATTTATAACTCAATTAAAGGCTCGTAGGCCCAAACATATGCATATCATATAAAAGAGAAATCTTGATCTCATCAAGAGGAGGTACAACTCTAAGAGAGATATAAATATATGTCGGATTAATTAATGAGAGAGAGAGAGGGAAGCTCGTACGTCTCAATAATAATCACATATATACATACACACATCGTATATGGTCCATGATCATCTATCAACAATACACATCATGTTTATACAGACTAACTAGGTAGAATCAATTAAATTCTTTAATTAATTTTGGATTAACTCTTAATCAATTAGACTTGGATTAACCCTTAATCCAATTTGGGAAACCCTAGCTAATCCATGTCACAAGGTGCCCTTGGCGGCCAGGAAACCTGGCCACCTATCACATTTGGTTAGTTGGGAAACCCTAGTCGCTAGGGTTGCCCTTGCGGCTAGGAGTCCTCCTGGCCACCAAGGCTACAAGCAGCCCTCGGCCAAGGCTTTCTTTATCATATCTAATGTCAATAAGTTTTTGGGTGACAAAACACTTCATACACCAAAAACTATGCTATTCTAATCTTAAATCGGTGAAAACATAACTTATTTACGAGAAAATCGATTCTACACAACATATAGTCAATAATCGATCATTGCATGAGCAACCTGGCTTTGATACCACTATTGAAAAACCTTAAGGAGCATCATATGCATAGTGAAAAATAAAAATAAAACTGGTTTCCCAAAACGGATTTATCGAATTATCATGTAAAGATCGAAAGCGTAAAACTCAAGAAACTAAAAACTACATAAAGGGTGTGAGATGTTCTCATTTAGGGGAACTCATATATCCCATAAGATCATATATCTTAGTCTATAGATGAAGGAGCTCTCATAAACTCTTCTCTGGCGGTGATCCACATGATGGACACAATAATGATGCTCCTCCTTGCATAACGCATTCTTTCCTTATAATCGCACGCCACCATACAACAACATACAAGGAGGGATCGATTCCTCCTATTGTCCTCTCGCACTACAGAGGGAGCAGTCGAATGGATGAAGAAGGGGGGAGGAGATGATGAGGGTGGCGACTATAGGGGTCCAGCCTATGACCCTTTGAGTCTCAACTCCTATTTATAAAGAGCCCCTTTACTTACCATAATGGATTATGCCTTAATAGGTATTAGATCTCCATCAAATTATCCTTGGCTTAATGAATATTGGATCCCTATCCAATTCTAAACTCTATTAGATCCATTAAAACAATCCTTATTGGATATCTTATATGTAATCATCTATTCGTCGTGTTGTCCACCATATGTGTGTGACCCTTTAAGCTCAATATTGAATTTGTCGTGAGTTACACCTGTTAGAACCTCTTTTGACTCAAAATTTCTTCTGACTCAATGAATTATTATTCTCATAATAATTTATTTAATTCATCGACTATGGGCATACTAGGCCACTACGCCATAGTTCTCAAACGATACAAGGGGATCTAATCCTTTGGACCTATCTGCCCTCAGTTATTGTGTACTTATAGTCCTTCATTCATCTAATATATCAAAAACCATATATCATACATAGTACTATCAGGCCTATATGGAATCTATCTGAATCTCACTCTAATCAAATTCTCATAGAGAACTCCTCTCTCAATCCGAATCTCACGTTTATCAGATTCATCATGATCTGATTGACCCTAGCCGGGGATTCGCTTGAGTGAGAATACACGAGATATTCCTCTCATGATACCGAGAGTAGATGATCTTCTATTGACATATAATTACCTTCGTAAGGTTGACTGTCATTTCCAATGATCGTTTGTATTATATCTAGAAGTTTCAGACTTATAAGTTTGATATCAAATAATAGAGTACTCATACAATGCATTCTTGGTGTTTCAAGTCTAAGGACCAGATACACAATGAAATTACGAAATTGTTATATGATGATGAGATATCATTAACCAACCAGCATTTCGTAAGCGGATCATTCAATGAACTCATTCTCCAATGAGCACCTGTACTATATCTCTAGTGCCCCTACACAAGCAGTTATGAGACTAGCTTTCTCCATCATATAGACGGGCATATAGTACATTAGTCTATCATGTTATCTCAATGTCCCTCTCGAGTAACCTATGACCAAAAATATTTATAGTATGTATTTAAAGACAAATTGATCTCATTATTATTATGATCAAAAGATATTAATATATATATAATTCAATATAAAGTAAAAAAGTATCATAATCATAATAACCAAAAGAGATTATGTAACGTATCACATATTCTATCACTCACGTGATTGGGTTGCAGGACACCTGCAACACTGCCTCCAATAATGGCATCTAACGAGTAGGACATGGGGGATCCTCACCCATCCTTATCCTTGTTGCCATGCACCCAAGTATAAAAACCTAACCTCAGGTTAAATAGGGGTAGACGGGTGAACACCACACTCTTCTGAATATAGTTAACTCATTCTTTCCCTATCTCTCTGACTTAAGCATCGAAGGGGCCACACTAGGACCTCCCTTGACGATGACTTGTAATACAGGATCATCGACGTAGCTGAAGAGACATTGCTAGAAGACTCCCACAACAAGGCAGATCATCTTCCTAAGATCAGCACGCCCCCTCCACACACGAGAAGCTCTTTATGCTCGTGCCGTAGGCCAGCTCTATGCAACAGTCCTTTGTGTCAACTCTCATGAAAGGACATGTACTTTCAATGTTAAACCAAGCCGAATTTACTTCGTTGTAATAACAAGTTGGAACCACTTCTTAAATAAGAATTATAGCTTTAGAGAGAGAAAGACCTCACCATTCATAATTTCTCTGTGAAAACATGGAAGAAAATGCCAAAAAAGATAGATTAAATGGCTGTGTTTATGTGGACATGTCGATAGAGGCTTGCTAACGTTGTACCAACTCTTACCTCTCTATGAAACCAGTTGACCGAAAATATCTATTGTCCGAGGAAATACTCCGATTTAGATTTAATGTATGATAGAAGGTTGAAAAGCAGAAAAAATGGCCGTGTTCAATTCGATGTATCATGAAACATATGTATGGTAGTAACGCCTTCAATCTCATGATAAATTTCCCTTCTTTGATAGAATTTCTTAACCATAAATATTGTCTAGAAACATACCATGTAAGAGAGGATAATTATATATTACCTCCTATGATTAATTATGATTAACATCTCGATCCTTGTACTTTAAAAAATAATATTGGGCTTTTTATAACACTTATAAAGGTGAAACATTTAACCTCAATTCTATTTTATTGACAGAAAAAATAAACGTGTTGTCACATGAAAAAAAAATTACGAATGAAAATGATACAAATATAATTTAAATAACTTTTAAATTATTAATTTTATATAATTTGATTGATTTGCTCTTCTCCTCTTTCCAAACTGCTTGCACATAGCCTATCGCACCTGTTGCTTGTCGGTCGCCCACCGCACCTTCTCGCTCGTCGCTCGCCCACATCTCACTTGTCACACTTACTCACCCGCCACACCCGCTCGCCCGCCTCTCGCTCGCCACACTTACTCATTCGTCGCTAAGCAAGTGCGATGGGCAAGAAGCAAGCGAGCGACAAGTGAGCAAGTGCGGTGGGTGAGCGGTGGGCGAGCAACAGGTGAGCAAGTACGGCAAGTGAGGAAGTGCAGCGGACAAGTAACGAGCGAGCAAGTGCCACAAGCGAGCAGGAAGGCACTATATGTTACGGGTGAGTAGTTTGGAAGGATAATGAAATTATATTTTTATCTTTTCTATTCATATTTTTTTATACATACGATTTTTTTTCCGTCGATGTTAACGATGTAAGAAGAATTATGGTTAAATGTTTTACCTTCGTAATTATAGGAACCCAAATACTATTTCTAAAAATATAAAAATTAAAATATTAATCATAGTTAACTATAGAGGATAATCTATAAATTAACAACTCACAAGTACGTTCCATGTGCCATGGTATATATATATTCCGATCAAAAGCGAGAGCATGAATTCTGATACATACAGGTTCAACTATTACAGGTTGCCAACTGAAAAATAGCAAACCAATTCAAATAGGATTTGGTCATCCGCTGCTATGTGGCACATACAAACTTAAGCACAAAACGGTCGTAATTGGAAAACATTAAGGAAAGATGCATAATTACACCTCAAAGCTATAATTCATACCTCCTCCTCCTCCGCCCCTTTCCGCTATTAATACACCCCCACACCCTGTCCCTCCCTTTCCTTTTCATCCAAGCCACGAACTGAGAGAGGCTCGGAAAGAGAACGAGACGGAGACAGAGAGAGAAGGGGCGCAAACCTCTCTCCCTTCTCCTCCTCTTCTACCTTTTCCCTCCTCGAGGCGGAGGAGGGCAGCCTGAAGGGAGAAGCCGCGTCTTCTAACATCCGTGGATACTTGGTGAATTTGCAACTGTTGGGGCCTGGGCTTTCTGTGCTTGGTGCGTCCGTTGCCCGAGGAAATGGCGTCGGAGGGGTTTCTTTCGTTATCGGTGGTGGAGGACGTGCTGAAGCAGCATGGGACGATGATGAGCGACATCGACCTGGCCTCTAGGAAGGAGGAGGAAGCAGGTGATTCAGCTTATCATTTCAGTCTTTTACATGTCTTCTAAGGCATGCCGATCGAACAAGGTTTCTTTTTTCGTTTTTGATGAACTTCAAATGGTTTCGGATCAATGAGAGAGCTACCAAATGCTTATGATCGCCTTTCCTTCACCCACACTGTTTTGGAGTTTCTTTATCATCAAATTTTGTTCTTCCGCGCAGATGCTCCTTTTCTTTCGAAAAATACGAATACAATGAAGCAATTGCTGAGTATTTTTGCTGGTCTTGTCACAGAGATGAACATACTTTTGCTTTTGATTCATCCAAACAATCATATTAAGCAGATTTTTTTATTGATTTTTTTTTTTTATACTTTCCCCCCCGGAAAAGATCACCTATCTCGATCAGGTTCCGTGAAATCATGAATAGAGTTTTTATTGATCTATTTGCTATAGCAGCAACGAGACGGTACGAGGCAGCCGGATGGCTGAGGAGGATGGTTGGGGTTGTTGGTGCGAGAGATTTGCCAGAAGAGCCTACTGAGGAGGAATTCCGGCTTGGGCTGAGAAACGGGATTGTTCTTTGCAATGCACTCAACAAAGTTCAACCTGGTGCTGTGCCCAAGGTTAGCTTTTCTGGGAGGAGCGCAGTGGATTCTTTGTTTCTTCCTTTGTCTAATGACGTGATCCCTCCCCGAATCATATCATTTCCAGGTGGTAGAAGCTCCTGTGGATCCAACTCTCCTTCCAGATGGTGCTGCTCTGTCAGCATATCAGTACTTCGAGAATTTGAGGAACTTCCTTGATGCCCTGGAAGAGTTGGGTCTCCCAACATTTGAGGCGTCCGATCTAGAACGAGTGTGGCTTTTTCTTGGGCTAATTAGCTTTTCTCTTGTTCTTCCTTATTTTAAAATTTGAATTACAAGTTAAAAATCTTAAATTTCTAAGTTTTATAACTAATTATTCTTTTACATGTTCCTTTCCATAATCACTTCTTCTTCTATAACATTGCCCATTCGACTTGATCGTCCTTAGCGTGCATGCCTTCTTTTTAATTTTTTATTTCTTATCTTGGCTGGAGTACAGGGTGGTAAAGGCTCTCGGGTCGTGAACTGTGTTTTAGCTCTTAAATCCTATGGTGAGCATAAAGAAGGAGGCAGAAATGGTTCCTGCAAGTATGGTGGGGTTTTGAAACCTTCAAGCTGTGGTAAACATTTTGCAAGGAGAAACTTTGAACCTTTCATGAATTCCCTTGCAAGAAATCAATCAGCTGACAAAATCCAGGACAGTGTATCGGTGGAAGAGAACTTGAGCATTGATTTTTCATTAGAATCCACTGAAATGGTTGGTAAGCTGAAGGTCACAATTTATACAATGATTTGAGTGATCCTGCATTAACTAAAAACATGCGTGATATGGTTCACAGACATCACATTCTCTGAATATGCTTGTGCGCACCATTCTGTCAAATAAGAAGCCCGAAGAAGTTCCATCGGTAAGTTAATTCATTACAAATATTAACAGTACATAGTGGATATGAGGTGAAAATTGTTTTCCTTGTTCCCAGCTTGTAGAGTCAATGTTAAGCAAAGTAATGCAAGAATTCGAGTGTCGGATTGCAAGCCAAAATGATCTGGTAGACCCTTGTACTTTGGTCATTCACATACTGCTTTGTTTATCTGAACAAGAGTGCTTCTCTTCTTTTTATCTTTATACTTAATGAGTATTACTTATTTTCCCTTCACTGACTTTATCTTCAAAATGATTGTGCAGCATCTTCTCCCGAAACCTGCTTGATTTTCTTCCTCAACTCAATATATGATAATAAATTTTATTTTTTGCCGCTGTTAGATTCTTGGAATAACTTCAATTGGTATTACTAATCTTGTTAGGTTACAACAACTGCAAAGGATCAAACTGATGGAACAATATCCTTATCTGAAGAAAACAATTTCCCAGAGACTTCATCCGGTTGTTGTGAAATAGAGGTACCTTGTCCTATTTCGTACAGGGAAAAATCCAACAAAGTCATAATTATCAAACTAATTGTGGTATTCATTAGACCAAATATATTGCTGGTTGTGTGTGTTACAAAAAATTCATTTATGATTTGTGATTTATTAGACTTCAGTACCTCGTGATAAATTCATGTGCCTTTCTAATTGTTTTTCTATGATTTAGATGGTGAAGGCAGAGAGCACTTCTCCAAGTTTAAAAGATGAGAGTTTTAGTATGAGCTTGAAGGATGGAGAGACATCAAATACCAAGCTCCTAAAGCAAGGCCTACTTTTTGATGGACACACATCAAGTACCAAGCTCCTAAAGCAAGGCCTACTTTTTGATAGACAAAAAACAGAAATTCAGGTATGCTCTATAGCGGTCATTTTGTTTGAAAGATGGATTATGGTTGAGTTCATCAATCCGCATTGATGGTTGACGTCCTATGTAGGAACTGAAAGATGCACTTGTAACCACTAGAGCTGGTATAGAATTGATGAAAACTGAATATTCTGAGGAATTAAGTAATCTCGGTAAGATAATTAACTGATCAGTTGGAATTGAAGATCAGAACTGTTATATGTACCTTGAAGGCCCTTGTTTTCATCGTTTTTAGGGAAGCATATGAGGATCCTAGCTCATGCAATTCAAGGATATCATAAAATACTCGAGGAAAATAGAAAGTTATACAATCAAGTGCAGGATCTTAAAGGTAATATTATAGCTGGATCCTAAGAGTAATTATTAGATGGTGCAAACCTAATGCTTCTACTAATTTCTTTTGTATAGGGAACATTAGGGTGTATTGCCGTGTCAGGCCTTTCTTGCCTGGGCAGTCTAATCTGAGCACTGTTGGTCATATTGATGATGGAAGTATTACAATTCTTACCCCTCCAAAATATGGGAAAGAAGGGCATAAATCTTTTACCTTCAACAAAGTATTTGGCCCATTTGCTACTCAAGGTTTTTGATGCTCTATATTCAGTTTCATTTAGAATTTTCTAATGCAAACCACTGAATTAACCCCTTTAAATTAATGCAGAGGAGGTTTTTTCTGACACACAACCTTTGATCCGTTCTGTTCTTGATGGTTACAACGTTTGCATCTTTGCATATGGACAAACTGGAGCAGGAAAAACGTATACAATGGTAACGACATTGATATGAATATTTATCTTGAAATACTTCAGTTTAGCTCACAGTCATTTGTCCATTCGAACTTAATTTTTCATGCAGAGTGGACCTAAGGTACTCACGGAACAGAGTTTTGGAGTGAACTATAGGGCATTAAATGACTTATTCCATATCTCAAAGGAGAGAAAAGACACATTTTGTTATGAAATTTCTGTTCAGATGATTGAGATATACAACGAGCAAGTAAGAGATCTCCTTGCTAGTGACGGCCCTCACAAAAGATATCCTTTTATAAGATCTTGTTTTTGTAATACTTCATCTTTTGTTTGCTGTTTATTCATGATTATCTATACTTTTTACGCCTTAGAATTCCCAACCTATTTTCTATGGACTAAATGTTAGGTATTTTTATAGAACTTTTCTCCATTCTGTCCACATAAACCTTTACATGTTGATACATTAGATATCCGTAATAGTTCTCAGACAGGATTTGCTGTGCCTGATGCAAACTCGGTTCCTGTCACATCAACAACTGAGGTTATTGAGCTAATGGATATTGGTCAAAAAAATCGTGCTGTTAGTGCAACCTCCATGAATGACCGTAGCAGTCGCTCTCACAGGTCTGGTCATACTTGTGAAGGAATTTGCTTTGACTTTCACAGTGTTTGACCAATGGATTTTTTGGTTTACAGTTGCTTGACAATTCATGTTCAAGGAAGAGAGTTGGCATCTGGGGTTGTTGTTAGAGGATGTATGCATTTAGTTGATCTGGCAGGTAGTGAGAGAGTTAATAAATCTGAAGTTAAAGGAGACAGGCTAAAAGAAGCACAGCATATTAACAAATCACTAGCAGCTTTAGGAGATGTGATATCTGCCCTTGCTCAGAAGAGTTCACATATTCCTTATAGGAATAGCAAACTTACACAACTACTTCAAGATTCTCTAGGTAAGACCAAAATGTGACTTTCTAAGTTCTACATGTAACTCATTCTTCTGGAGTCATCATATGCTATTTTGGTTTTCTCAGGAGGGCAAGCTAAAACATTGATGTTTGTCCACATAAGCCCTGAGGTTGATGCAGTAAGTGAGACACTAAGCACACTCAAGTTTGCTGAACGGGTTGCAATGGTCGAGCTTGGTGCAGCTCAGGTAAACAAAGATAATGGGGAAGTCAAGGAGCTCAGGCTGCAGGTATTTCCTTTTCATTCTTGAGTTGCAGATCAATTTCTAACATATGATTTTTTTGTTAATTTGCTCCCGCTCCCTGGTTATCCTAATCTTATGCCTTTGTTTCATTCTGCTTAGGTAGCTAGCCTTAAAGCAGCATTAGCTAAGAAAGAAGGTGAGCACTTGCGTAGTGCAATGTCTAGCCCTGATATATACGGGATGAAATCTGGTGCAACATCTCCTGCACATCCAAACCATATGCAGACGATGGAGGATTTTGGAAACATAGAGGTATATTTACTCTAGTGTGGAAGATTGTTGTGTCTTTTGTCCTGAATATGCAAATATTTAGATTTGCCTGGAAGACTTGATATTTGGTAGAATATAATGCTGTGTCAAAATTAACATATGTAGCAACTGTAAGCCTATAGAATTATAGGCATTTGCTGGGACATTGAATTTTCGACTTTTAACATATCTGGTTATGAATTTAAAGCTTCTGGATCAGGAATGTTAGCTTTTACTCGAAAGAAATTACATAGCCACATATGTAATCAAGGGTCTGATTATGATTAGTACATGGCCACATATGTCATCAAGGGTCTTGTTATGATTAGGATCTCTTCCAAATATTCTCTCTCTCTCTCTCT